TCCGTAACACAAAGATGGGAGGTAAGTAACACGAAATGAATGACAGAACTGAAAACTTAACAGAGTGGACTAACATTTGTCATAATGTACATTGCATGAAAAAAATGTACAAGATATCTAATAGTTTTGCATAAAGACTTCATTCATGAATAAAGAAAAATCTTAGCCTGATCCTGATTTCAGCAACATCTTGATTCTTAAATGTTTCCAAAGCTTTTGTCTCTTCTACTCTACTCTAGCTCAAACCTTTTTGTACACGTTGATTTTTTTTTTTGTTTGAAGTAAAATATCGTTTGAACTTTTGTCCCCTTGCCTTATTCTTGTAATTTAAGTTGGAATAATACAATTGATTTACTCTTTTGTACACTTCTATATTTTTTTTCCCTGATGTTATTTGTTTAGCTTTTCCTAAAATAGATCTTTGGTAATCACCTCAACTACTCCCTATAATAAAATAATAACAGCATAGAAGGAGGTCATTAGGCTGATTGCAAGAGCATTCCATCCAGTCATTTTAGCCCCCCTACACTCTCCATCGCCTTTCAAGCCACAGCTGAATTTGCCTCTACCACATTTTAAAACAATGTATTCTAAATCATAACTATTCACTCCATAAGTTTTTTCCTTGTTTCTTCTTTGGTCTTTTTCCTAACCACCTTAGATGTGCGTTTTCTGGTTCTAGACCCTTCTGTGAATGGCAACAGTTTCACTGTACTCTGTCTAAACCACATGATTTTGTCCTCCTACATCAAACCTCATCTTGACCTTACTAAGAAGAGCACAGCAATTCTAACAATGTATCCACATAACTGAGGTCCCTCAACCCTGGAACCATTCCAGTAAATGTTTTCTGTACCCTCTAAGGCCTTTTCATGCTTTTCGAAGTGCACTTGCCAAGATTGGGCACAGCGTTCCAGTCGTAGCTGAGCCACTGCTTTATGATAGTGAGTTTCATATCCTAACCACTGTCTAGGTAAATAATTTTTTTTTTTAATTCGTTGAGATAAACAGCAGTGGTCCAGCAACTGATAATTGTGGAATACCACTCCCTGACTTTTGTAAGACTGGGTAACTCCCCGGTGGGTGATGGCCTAGTGGTATTGTCGCTGGACTGTTAATCCAGAGACCCAGATAATGTTCTGGAGACCCGGGTACAAATCCTGCCATGGCAGATGGTGGAGTTTGAATTCAATGAATATCTGGAATTAAGAATCTAATGATAACCGTGAATTCATTGTCAATTGTCGGAAAAACACATGTGGTTCACGAATGTTCCTTAGGAAAAGAAACTGCCATCCTTACCTGGTCTGGCCTACATGTGACTCCAGACCCACACCAATGTGGTTGACTCTTAACGACCCTCTGGGCAATTAGGGATGGGCAATAAATGCTGCCTAGCCAGCGATGCCCTCATCCTGTGAATGAATAAAGGAAAAAAAAACCACCTTTAACCCCGCAATCAATCTTCTATCCGGCCTGCTATTTGTCCCCTGATTCTACGCATTATAAACTTAGATCTGAATGTGATGTGCAGTATTTTAAGAAGGTAAATTAAAATTCAAATGTGTGTATTGTTTCCCCTTTATCTGCTGTTTCTGGAAAATTAAGTAATAAAGTTGATCAAGCTTGACTTTACTTTTTAGAAACTGCACATATTTTCAAAGTCTAAATGTTTCTCCATAGCTATTTCATTAAGGATTCTGTTTCTAATCTTCCATTAATTATGTTCCCTTATTTTTTCATTATGTTACATATAATTAATATAGCTATCCCATTCTTTGTCCTTTCTGTTGGTTATCATCAGCAATGTCTAGTTGACAACACAGAGTTGTTCCTTCAGCATCCAGTTCCATGCTATGGATTCATTGTCTCAGTTTTATCTATCTATTCGGGTGCTGTGTATGTTATTGTGCAGTTAGTCAAATTTATCTTCAATATTTATTTCACTTACTTGATTTTTTTAACAGTCCTTTTGTGCTCTCTTTTACAACTACATTTATTCCTTATATTCAGACCTGTGTTATTTCCACCAGATCCTTCCTCCAACTATTCTCCACGACCATCTTACTGATGCAAAATTCTATATACAGCCCTTTCGATACTTTGTGGGACACAGATCTCATTCTCTCTCATTTTTATGGAGTCCATCCCAGCATAACCATAGTTTTCTAACCCAAGTACTGCTTTCAGTGTTTCATTAATGGAACCTCTCCTTTTCACGAGTCTTTCAGAAATGCATTCTTCTTCCTTTTATCTTTACCAACCTACTACAAATATTGGTTTCTATTAGCTTAAATTCATGGCTGTTTCTTCTCACAAATGACTAAACCCACATTTATGCTTCTAATTAAATCAAGAGACCTTTGACTTTAGTAGAGTATGTGAGTGCTTGCTTTTTTCTCTTGTGTGAAGGGTTGAAATCTTGGTGTATGGCAACTAACATTTTTTTTGTGATGGGGTGGGACCCTGACATTTTTTCTGTGTGGAGGTCTAGTATTTGTATGATAATAAGTTGTCCACTTGCTAGTTTCATGTATAGAATATATGGCTCCAAAAAATTGAACATCCTTGATCTGCCTAATGCTTAGGAGTAAAATGATTTCAAATATACATCGTTCTGTGTGTGTAGCCAAGGGAAAAAAATCATTGTTCCTTGTTGCCTTTCTTTTAGAGAGGAGAAATCAGTAATTTCCAATATCTCATGCATCTGAACACATTAGCAGGCAGATCCTATAATGACTTGATGCAGTATCCAGTGTTCCCATGGATTCTTGCAGACTATGATTCTGAGGTATGAAGACTTCTGAAATCCATATTCTACGAAGGAAAATTAGTTTATACCTTATTGAATTTTGCTAAAAATAATTATTAACTACATCATGGCTTTGGTTTCATTTTGCAGATGTGAACTTTTCCAATACAGCCCATTGTTAGTTTGACTGTACAGTTTGATAGTGCTGAGTTGCTTTCTTAACTGCTTCAAAGATAGTTAAGAGTCGTTGGTGGATCATTTTCATTCCCTATTATTTTTAATCCTTTCATAGCTTTGTCCAAAGCTCTGAAACCCCCACCAAATGTCTCCAGCTTTACATCTCATTCTTCCTTTTGTGCTGCTTGTTCGAACCAGTTAATCTTAAACAAGCGCTTGACCATCTGTTTTAATATCTACTTATGTGGCTCAGTTGGGTTTTTTTATAACACACCTACAAAGCACCTTGGGATATCTTACTATAGAAAAGTCTATAAAAATTCAAGCTATTGCTGTAATGGACTAGTTGGCATTTTTACAAAAATTCAGTAGGTCTTTTTTGATACCAGATTTTTATTTCCATTTTTGTTTTAAGAACCTTGGGGTTAAGTAGTTCTTCACAATCACCACAAAGCCCTTGCAATATTGGGAACATTTAGAAATGTGTCCTAACTTCCCAAGGCTCAGCATTTCAGGTCCGTTAAGGGATATTTTTAAATATAGGCCTGACTGTTGTTAGATCCTGTTTCACATGCAAAGAGATTTAGAGATTGAATTGTAACAGAAGATTGAACTAATGATTATTGACGTGTTTTAAACCTTATTAAAATAATTCCTTTCTCATTTGACCCACCAAAGCAATACTTAATTTTTTTATTTACTAAAAATTCAAAAGGATGTGCTTTGAGTAATCCTTTTTCTTAAATAGGAACTCGATCTTACAAATCCTAAAACATTTCGGAACCTGGCTAAACCAATGGGGGCTCAGACTGATGAGAGATTAGCTCAGTATAAGAAACGCTACAAGGACTGGGAAGATCCAAATGGTAAAGTTATTTATAGAGATGGAAGTATAATTCTATTTGCATGCTGCATAAATAGAGGCAGAACCGTCTCTTTTTGTTGTGGTTTTTCTGATTAATGCCACTCAATTTTTCATGAACAGTCACCTCAATGTTTTGATATAAGGGGAAAAAAAGTTAAACTGGATGAAATAATTCTTTAACTGGAATACTATAGAACATTGTTTATGTGGATATTTAATTTTTTTTACCATTGTGAATAAGCCATTTGTTTTGGAAAAAAGTTATGTTGTTTTGAATTTAATTGTGGATAATATTTGTTCTGTTCTTGAATCCTAGGTGAAACTCCAGCATATCATTATGGTACACACTACTCTTCTGCCATGATTGTAGCTTCTTATTTAGTGAGAATGGAGCCATTCACTCAAATATTTCTCCGACTCCAGGTAACTAACATGCACTTCAATTATTCAATTTATGGTTACTTTACCACCACCTTTAGATTAATGCGTCTAGTCTTAAATTCAAAGATAACACAGTGTGGAGCTGGAGGAACACAGCAGGCCAGGCAGCATCAGAGGAGCAGGAAAGTTGATGTTTTGGGTTGGGACCCTTCTTCAGAAATGGGGAGGGGGAAAGGAGCTCACAAATAAATAGAGAGGAGGGGTGGGACTGGGGAAGGTAGGCAGGATAGTGATAGGTGATTGCAGGTAGGCAGTGGTGGGGAATGGTCAGTGAGGTCGGACAGGCACTGTGGAGCGGCCAAGGGAGTCGCGGAGAGAGCGGTCCCTAAGAAAGGCGGATAGGGGTGGGGAGGGAAATATATCTTTGGTTGTGGGATCAGATTGTAGATGGCAGAATTTGGGAGTAGGGGATCGCATTCTTGCAGGAAGGTGGGTGAGAGGAGGTGTAGTCTAGGTAGCTGTGGGAGTTGATGGGCTTGAAATAGATGTTGGTTTCAAGGCGGTCACTAGAGATGGAGACAGAGCGGTCCAGGAAGGGGAGGGAGGTATTGGAGATGGTCCACATGAATTTGAGGTTAGCGTGAAAGTTGTTAGTAAAGTTGATGAACTGTTCAAGCTCCTCATGGGAGCACGAAGCATCGCCGATAGTCATCAATGTAGCAAAGGAAGAGGTGAGGGATAGTGTCAAGAAAGCAGCGGAAGACGGACTGTTCCATGTATCCTGCGAAGAGGCAGGTATAGCTTGGGCCCACGTGCGTTCCCATGGCCACCCCTTAGTCTGTAGGAAGTGGGAGGAGTTAAAGGAGAAGTTGTTAAAGGTAGGGACGAGTTTGGTTAGGCAGATAAGGGGGACTGGTCGGGCCTGCGGGAGAGGAAGAAGCGGAGGGCTTTTTGGCCATCCGTGTGGGGGATACAAGGGAATGCGATCCCCTCCTCCCAATTCCTCCACCTCCGCCGTGTCTGTTCCCAAGATGGGGGCGTTCCACTCCCACAAATCCCAGATGTCGTCCTATTTCAAGGACTGCAACTTCCCTCCTTCAGTGATCGAAAATGCCGTCGACCGCATCTCTTGCGTTTCCCGCACCTCTGCCCTCACATCCCCTCCCCCCAAAAAAAACAAAGACAGAATCCCCCTTGTCCTCACACATCACCCCACTAACCTCCGGATCCAATGTGTCATACTCCGCCACTTCCACCACCTACAATCTGACCCCACAACCAAAGATATATTTCCCTCCCCACCCCTATTTGCCTTTCGTAGAGACCTCTGTCTCCATGACTCCCTTGTCCGCCCCACCACCCCCAGCAACTTTCCCTGCAACCACAGGAAGTGCTACACCTGCCCCTACACCTCCCCCCTCATCTCCATACAAGGCACCAAACAAACCTTCCACATTAGACATGGGTTCACCTGCACAGCCGTCAACATGATCTGTTGCATCCACTGCTCCCGATGTGGCCTCCTCTACATCAGTGAGACCAAGCAGAAACTTGGAGACCGTTTTGTATAGCACTTGCACTTTGTTCATGACAAATGACAACGCCTTCCAGTCGTGAATCATTTCAACTCCCCCTCCCACTCCCTGGGTGACATGTCCATTCTCAGCCTCCTCCAGTGTCACAATGACGCCACCCTCAAAGTGGAGGAGCAGCACGTTATATTCCGCCTTGGGAGCCTACAGCCTACAGCCCACAGCCCAATGCCCTAAACATGGATTTTACCAATTTCAAAATCTCCCCAACCCTCCCTCTCATCCCCGTCTCCTTGACCTGACACAACCTGTCCATCTTCTCTCCCACCTATCTGCCTGCACCCATCCCAGTGACCAATCCCCACCACTGCCTACCTGCACTCACCTATCACCATCCCACCTACCTTGCCCAACCCCACCCCATCTCTCTCTTTATTTCTGAGCTCCCTTCCCCCCTCCCCGTTTCTGAAGAAGGGTCCCAACCCGAAACGTCAACTTTCCTGCTCCTCTGATGCCACCTGGCCTGCTGGATTCCTCCAGCTCCACATTGTTATCTCTGACTCCAGCATCTGCAGTTCTCACTATCTTTTAAATTCAAAGATTATAGTATTTTCTCATCGCTGAATTTTTATTATGTTATTTGTTTGTGTCATTCTCCTTTCACAGGGTGGCCATTTCGATCTTGCTGATCGAATGTTTCACAGTGTACGAGAGGCCTGGTACTCTGCATCCAAACATAATATGGCTGATGTAAAAGAACTCATCCCAGAATTCTTTTATCTTCCAGAGTTTCTCCTAAACTCCAACAACTTTGATCTAGGTATGGTGTGCGTGCGAGCATAGAAATTTAATAAAAAGCGAACCGTCCCACGCTATCAACAATAAGCTATACTTGAAGGGACTGAGCAATAAAAATAAGGCTGCAATATAATACATCCAGTTCCCCAGCCTGTAGTTTGTATGAATAATCTGCCTTACAAGAAACATAAGGTTATGTGGTATAATATTGAATTTTGTCACAGCATCTTTTTAAAACTTACATTTATATATGGCCTTTCATACCCAAAAGAGCTCTGCTGCCAATTATATATTTTTGAAATATGGTCACTTCTCCACTGTAGGTATATAGAATCACAGATTTTACAGTGCCGAAGGAGGCCATTCAACTCCTAGTGACTGTACTGTCTCCTTAAAGAGCTATCCAGCTCGTCCCACTCTGCAGTCCTATCTTCTTAGCACTTTAACTTCATCACTTTCAAAATGTGACCACCAATTTTCATTTGGCAAGACGATACTGTTAATGTAATTTATTTTATTGCTATTGGTTAAGTAATAAGTATAGTCAAGGATTTTTGTGGAATAGTGAATTGGAATATCTTCCACCCATGAGACTGAACAGTCAGGCCTAGACTTTAATGTCTCACCTAAAATTCCGCCGTATCCTTAGAGATTGAGTTTTTCTGAGTTGAAAAGTTATCTTTGTTTTAATGTAGGTTTTGTTCATCCACAGAAGCACTCAAGTGCCAAAAAAACATTAACCTAGATGTCTGTAGGGATATTTTTCTCTCACATTGGCAGATTTTCTGAGCTGAGAACTTTTTCCGAACACTATTTTCCCCGCCTCATTGTCGTCCAGGAATTCCCAAATGCAAGTGTCTCTGGTGTTCAGATTAATGTGTTCCACTCACCCTCGTACAACTTTCTAATAGGCATATTAATGATATGCAGTTGTGCCTATCCATGCTATGAGACATCAGAGCAAATGTCTTGGCCAGAGGTTCTAAGGAATGCCTTTGAAAGAGGAGAGTCAGAGAGAAAGGCAGAGAGGTTTAGAAAGGTAATTCCAGCACTTAAGGCTCAGGTAGCTGGAGGCATGTCCACCAATCATGAAGCAGTTAAAATCACGCATGCTCAAGAGGCCAGAATTAGAGGAGCTCGAGTATGTAGCAGGATTGTTGGGGCTGGAGATGGTGACAGAGATGGGGAAGTATAGGGCAATGGGGGAATTAAAATATGATCCTTTTTTTTTTAAAAGTAACATTTTAACTATGGCGCAATGTGGACCAGCAAGCATATGGGTGAAGAGGATTTGTTGGGCGTTTGAAAACAAAGTTTTGAATGATCTCAAATTGTAGGCTAGAACATGTACGCTTTGATGCCATGGCAGCAGTGGAAACATGATGATGAGGGATTCAAACGTGTAACTCTGAGAAAAATTGCCTCAAATTTGAGAAGTGACACAACGCTTAAGGATTTTGAAGAAGAATGAGAGTTGTAGATTGGACGGTAGTTTACAAGAGTAGAGGAAACAGGTTGGTATTTGAGGATCGTACTGATACAGATCAGAAAGAACAGTGCCTGAGAAAAGTACTAATGTGGGAGCCAGGAATGGAAGTTGGATAACAATTGTTTAGTGGGTATGAGATTGACAGCGGGAAGTGAATCTCAGGAACAAGGTGATCTTGGAGAGAATGAGAGAAGGTGAGGGGGGTAAAAAAACATGGAAAAGATGCAAGTTCCGGGCTAGTGCAGAGACTGAAGACTTTAAGAGGAGGTTTAACCTGGTGGGTGAGGAGAAGAGAAGGCAGTGACAAAGTAACTGGATCAACCAATTCATGAGCTGCTCGCTTGTTGGAGCTGAATGAGGAAACAAGAAAGCAAAGAATTTAAGACAGTTTTCAGAAAAGGATGTCAGAGTTACCTTAGTGTTCCAGTTGGTCCTGGAACAGTGAACAGCTTTTGCAGGTGAGAATAGGGCCTAACAGTGTTTTGTGGTATTGTGGGTCTGTTTGCTTGAAGTTAGGGAAAACAACACAGTAGAATGTGCTGTAAATGAAAGGCCTTACATGAGCCAGTTTGCGGAAATTAAGCCATATACCATGGCACCTAGCTTACTATGGTGTCTCGGCTATGCAAATATGTAATGAATATGTTCAAGCTTACTGCTGACTGAGGAGATGAAGCAGAATGGAGATAATTCAGGTCATCAACCCAGAAGGCATCAATCCATGAAGGTTTGTCTGAATTACAGGCAGCAACTAACAACTCTTCCCCTCTCCTGTCTCTCACACATGCACGTTTGCGTGGGTGTGTGCACGCACACACACCCCTTTGTGTGCACAGTGAAGTTATAGTTTTCACCTTTAACAAGGGAGTGGAAAGTTAACCAGAGATTTGTGGTGATGTGAAGTGACTCTGTGTATGAACTTTGTCACATTTCTGACGCTTTGAATGCCTGCAAAACAATCAGCTAAATTTAGATAATTTAAGGAATCTATAAGACAGGATATAGGTTGTACAAAGTAGATCACTTGGCCATGTCATGGAATCCATCAGTTTTGTGATGGATATGGTTGGAAATGAGTTTAGACTTCTCGCACAAAAAGCACGTTCCATAACTTTGAAGTTAATGTGCTTAAGTAAAATCATTCTTCACATGGATTGGTGTTGATATTTAGTGCAAACACTATTTGCATTTCACCTCTGTCAGAGCAGATGTTTAAGCATGATTCCACAATTTGATATCCTGAATGAGAAGCACTGGCTGATGTTACCATGAGGGACCCCCCTCCTCAATGTCTCCCCTCATCTGAGACATGGTGACCCTCAAGTTAAACCACCACCAGTTGTCTTTCTCTGATGCGATAACAGCCTATGGTCTGGTAGACTATATCAACTCACCTTTTCCTTTTTACACAGGAAAAAGACCCATTAATCCAACTCTTTGTTTTCTGACTGCCAACCAGTTATCTATCCATGTCAGTACACGGACCCCAATACCATGCACTTCAGTTTTATATGCTTCTCAAAAAAACTTCATTAGATTTGTCAAACATGACATTGCTTTTATAAATTCATGCTGAATCTGTCTAATCCTGTCACTGTGCTCTGCTAGTAAATCTTTTAAAATTAACTCTAATACTCTCCATGGCCACTTCCTTCATTACCCTGGGATGTAACTTATCGAGCCCTGGTTTTTAATTCCATCAATTTCCCCAACACCATTTCCCTACTAATACTGATTTCCTTCAGTTCCTAACCGTCACTAGACCCTATACACTCCAATATTTTTAAGATAACCTACGTTTGTCTTAACTAATTTTTCTTTCTTTATATACCTGTAGAAGCTTTCACAATCACTTGTATATTCCCCACAAACTTACTCTCGTATTCTGTTTCCCCCTCTTAATCAATCCTTTTGTCCTCCTTTGCTGAAATCTGAACTGCTGTCATGCCTCTGGTCTGCTTTTTTTATTTGTTTGGCTAATTGCTATGTCCCTTCCTCAGATCTTACGTTATCCATAATTACCCTTGTTAACCGTGGACAAGCCATCTTTCCCATTTTAGTTTTGTGCCCAACAGGAACAAACAATTGTTGCAGTTCCTCGATGCACTCTTTTTACATGTTTGCTGTTTCATATCCATTGTCATCCCTTTAATGTTCCCCAGTTTATCATAGCTAGCTCACACTCATTGTTTCCTTTATTTAGATTCAAGACCTTCGTCTCATAATCAACCATGTCACTCTTCATCTTAATGAATATTTCTATCATATTATGGCCACTCTTCCCTAACGAGCCTTGCACAACTGGATTGCCAATTATTCCTTTCTGATTACACAATATCTAATCTAGGATAGCTTGTTCTGTAGTTAGTTCCTCAACAAAACCATCTCGTATATACTTTAGGAATCCCTCCTTTACAATATTGTTGCTGTTTTGATTTCCCCAATCACTACGCAGATTAAAGTAGCCCATAATTACAGCTGTACCTTTATTGCTTGCATCTCTAATTTTCTACTTAATATCTTCTCCAAAATTACCCCTGCAGATTGGGGGTTCAAGTACAATCCTCACTAATGTTTCTGCCGCCTAGTGTTTCTAAGGTGTACTCATACGAATTCCACTTCATTGAAGCTAATATCCTTCCTCGCTGTTGTGCTAATTTACTCTTTAATCAGCAATGCTATTGCACCTCCTTTTCCTCCTCTTCCCTTCTGAAGAGGAGTTACTGAACCCTAAACATTAACTCTGATTTCTTACCAAAGATGCTGCCAGACCTGCTGAGATATACCAGCAATTTCTGTTTATGTTCCTTCTCCTTTGTTTATGGTTCTGTATCTTGATAAACATATTAGCTGTAAAATTGGACATGCTCCTTCATAATGTTTAAAAAAGATCAATTTTCTATCTTCCATATATATCTAGGTTATAAGCAGAATGGCATAAAATTGGGAGATGTGTTATTGCCACCATGGGCCAAAGGGGACCCAAGAGAATTCATCAGAGTTCATCGTAAGGTAATATTGGCAGCAGTATTAACTCTTTGATATTCTGTGTTATTTATTACTTAGCACTACGATTCTTGAGTGGAGAATATTGTGTTCATTTTAAATACTTGAGCTTCTGAATTGAGGATGCTGTATACTCTATTTTAGACAACATTGATCAAACTTGTATGTTATGCTTGTGTTATGACAGTAAATTGAATATTTAAATGGCAATGATCACTAAATTTTGTAGTATTGGCTTTTCATTCTCAATGCGGAGTTACCAAGATATCTACACATCTGGAGGTTCCCTTCATCTTTGGAATACCAGACAAAATCCCATCCAATAGTGGATTGTAGGAATCTTCAGGGAAGGTGGTAATGCAGTCATAATGTCACTAGATCAATAATTCAAAGGCTCAGGTTAATCTCTGGGCATTAGTTCAAATCCCATATTGTTAATTGGTGGATTCAAATTCAGTTTGTAAAACCTGTAATAAAAAGTTAGTCTCCATAATGGTGACCATTAAACTTTCATTAAATGTCATACAAACCCATTTGGTTTACTAATGTCCTTTAGGAAAGAAAATTTGCCATCCCTGCCTAGTTCAACCTGCATGTGACTCCAGATCCACAGCTCTGTGTTTGTCTCATAACTACACTCTGAAATGATCTAGCAAGCCATTCAGTTCAAGGGCAAGTATGGATGGGCACATGTGCTGGTCTTTCCAGTGATACCCAAATCCTGTCAAAGTATACAGAAGATATTACTTTCTGTTTCTTAATCAGATCCGGTAGAACTATCTCTGCAGTCTTGTAGGTTTATCATAATATTTAAGCTGGGCCAGCAAATGTAAATTCTCATGTAATAGATAACGGATCTATCTTGCATTGAATGGTCCTCCTGTTGGTGTTGGCAATATTGACATGCAGGATTATGTGGGCTATTGGTATTCTTGCTGGTATTCCAAGTTTATACACACTTGGAACAATTGTACAATACAATATCATCATATTTTTGTGCTTTGAATATAGCAGTTATCTTTGCTATTAAGTAAAAGGCTTCCGTTCTCTTCAGTAAACAAAGTCAGATACTGATATTTTAAATAGATACTGGGTTTACATCATCTAATATCACCAGTTGCTCTTAATGCTGTGATTTTCATTCATGCCTTGTTTCAGGCATTGGAATGTGACTATGTCAGTTCACACTTACATGAATGGATCGACTTGATCTTCGGTTACAAGCAGCAAGGTGCACCTGCAGTAGAAGCAGTCAATGTCTTCCATCATCTGTTTTATGAAGGGCAGGTGGACATTTATAATATCAATGATCCACTGAAGGAAACTGCAACTATTGGCTTCATCAATAATTTTGGACAAATTCCCAAACAGGTATGTAACAGTGCACGGCACATAACACATCAATGCTTTTCGTTATTTCCAGGCTAGATCATTCCAACGCTGATGTAGCCAGCCACCCATCTTCCACGCTCTGAGCTTAAGTTCATCTAAAGCTGTGATGTCAATATCCTAACTTGCATCCAATCCAGTTCCACCATTTGCAGTCGTTGACTTACATTAGGTTCCTGCCTCTCAGCATTTAATTTTAAAATTCTGGTCCTTGAGTTCAGTTCCCTTTCCGATTTTGCGTTCTCTATCCTTGTACCCTCCAATACGCTTAATGAGTTCTGCCTTCTTTCAATTCCTATGTATCTTCTACTTCCTTCATCCCATTAATGGTGACCATGCTTTCAATTATCTACATCAAAAGCTGTTGGAATTCCCAAGACTAGATGTCTCCACATTTGCATTTCTCTTTAAAGATTCTCCATAAAACATACATCCTTGATCAAGCTTTTATTCACCCTGTTCTAATATCAATTGGCTCAAATTTATATGATTTATTAAATTGACTTTTCTTTGAATTGCTTTGGTCGTTTTTCCAATGCAGAGTCATAAATACAGGGCTTTTACTTTGTTTGCTCTGGTTTTACACTAAGATTAGCTACAAACATATACACTCCTTATTAAATAAGAGTCTTTTCCTTTGGAATGGAGGCTGTTTTCCTGAACTCAGCTCTACATGAATTCTGTACTCACCATCTCACAACTGCCAAAGGTATGCTGAATCACACTGAGGTCAAGGGCCTCCAGTAGGAGAATTCAGCCCTTTGGTATAACCCCAATAACCAAGCATGTCTACCAGTATGATGTTTGGTTTACAGTTTCAGAAGATTCAGACATTATACATAATTTGAAACCCACTGAAGTTTAAATTCCTCCTCGCATATCCAAGTTTAGTTCACTACAAATGTTAAAAGGTTAGTTGAGTGTTTTCAACGATAGGAGTGAGGGAAGGAAATAGAATAATGCTGGACAAATACAGATTTTAAACAATTATTCTTGAATCTGTGAGAATTATGTAAATTCAGACAAGTAGCCAGTGAATAACATTGGGTTGGATCGATATATGAAGACCACCTTAAAAAGAGGATAAGACTGATTTGTAATTATTACAAAAAAACGCAAGATAGTCATGCCTGTACTTCTAGTCACAAACACTTAGGGGGAAGACAGTAACTAAGAATATGTAATCTGTATATCTGTGGAGAATTGTTTTTTGGTTGGATCCAAGCTCTTCTATTACTGTGTGAAGAAGGAACAATAAATGATCAACTTTCTAATTTAAATTCTGTTGGTTAATTTATTGTTTGTTCGAATGACACTAAACAAAAATTCTGATATATTTGGCTGCTTTTATGAAGAGAGAGAAATTCCAATAATTTTAAAATTTTTATGGATGTTTTTATGTTCCATAATCATGCTAAAAGCTTTCCTTCTTCTCAATGTGCACACTGTCAAAGTTGTACAAGTGGAAAATCTCCTTACAGCATCTACTAAAGTCAGGACAATCTTCAATTAGAAAGTTAAAAAGGCAGAATATTGCAGTAATGCAATTAAATGTAGTTTAACATTCTTAAACACATTTCTGTTCATTTCTTGCAGCTGTTTAAAAAACCTCATCCACCAAAACGAACACGTAGCCGGAATAATGGGGAACCATCTGGTGTACCACCCTCTCTGAGCTGTACCACTGACAAGATCTTCTTTCATCATTTGGATAATCTCCGACCATCTTTGGCACCTGTTAAAGGTGACACCTCTTTAAAAGCTCCACATGTTTCGTGAGAATTATCTGTTAAAAATAGCCCATAATTGTTTCTATTTTTAAAAAAAACTCCTAATTTAGTTGTATTTAAACATAATCATTTTTGTTTTGTTAGTTTTCCTATCTTGATTTAAAATTATCCAGAATCTAGCTATTTGCCTTGTTCAGCAACTGATTTTATTACAAAAAAAACGGCCTGTCATTGTCCTTTATTTAATTCCCAAATTACTTTGAAATTCCCAAGCCCAACTGCATCTGTATGATGTTTTTCTTTTGCTGCAAGAGCCTGTGATATCTCCAAGTGCTTATATGAATCTGAACTGAGAGAGCCTAAACTTGACAACTTAAACCAGTAGATGGGGACTTTTCACAGAATAGGACTCTGGAATTAAATGTGTATCAAAACTTACCATTGATTTTGTGCTACTTGTTAGATCATGAAGGAATTGTGAAATACAATGCTTTCAATTAATTAAAACTATACAGTATACAAGTGTTCTACATGGCATAAATTTTGAGCTCCAGCTGAAAGTTCAATGCTGTGTCTTTGTGTGAATTGTAAAGTATGCCTTTGTTCATGTATTTATGTGCTATACAACTTCCCCTTCTGTCTGTGCAGTGCCAAACATGGATAGATTATACTGACATTAGAAGAGGCTACTTTTAGGCTTAATGAAGTTTTTTTCTTTCAACAGAACTGAAAGAACCAGTGGGACAGATCATTTTTACAGATAAAGGTGTTCTAGCAGTAGAACAAAATAAAGTGCTAATTCCTCCCAGTTGGAACAAGACATTTGCTTGGGGATATGCAGATCTCAGTTGCAGAGTTGCAAATTATGAATCTGACAAGGTGTGTAACTGGATCCTTATTATAAACAGCTATTTCCCATAGGATATGGGGAAAAAAGGTTGAGTTGGAGAAAACTTGTGTGAAATGGGTTATTCTCTTTCAAGTATTTTTGGCTTTGTTGTTAATTTCAATTTGGGTGAATTCTTTAAAGGAAAGATTGTTCTTAAGTTTTTGTGCATATTTCTGAATTTTGAAATTATAGAAGACCCTAATCTATATGTCCTTGGCCTTTTAGACTTTCCAATAAAGCTCCATGTTACCTTGAGGAACATCACCTCATTTTAATTGCACACTTTACAACATCTGGACTCAACATTGACTTCAATAAGTTCAAAACTAAAATTTTGGCCATATTCTTTGGATTGTTGCTGTAGGGGATGACTTTGCTTTTGTAATTTACCACTCCTCTAGACCCACTTTTTCAATTATTGCCATCTCCTTTTTCATTTCATCACTCCTCTCATTGAACAGATCTTCTATCTTTTCTCAGATCTTCCTGTTTACTCTGCTCTTCCCTTCCTTCCCACTTGCCCTGCTGCTGTACTTGCTTATGACCTGTTAAATCTCAATTCTAACAAATAAAGCAAAAAACCAGAGACCTGAACTCTGCTTCAATTTCCACTAATGCTGCTACACCTTCTGAGTATTTATTTCTATTTTTATTTCAGATTTCCAGTATGTACAGCACTGTTTTTCCTAATACTTTATTTTCTTCCTTGTAGCCAAAGATATCAAATCAGAACTGTTGTTATCTGTCGGGACCCAGAAGTGTAAAGTTTCTTTTGATTATTTGTTATGGTCATTTCTCCCTGCGCCACTAGCAAGTTGCTTTTTCGTTATTAAAATAATGTAAAGCAAAATGTATAAAATATGGTGCCTAAAGAAGAAGTGTAATTACATAGCACCTTTCATGAGCTCTGTCCTAAATAAATCATCAACTAGTGAAGTGCTTTTGATGTATAGTCATGTTTGCAAAGCAAGCAAGTGTTGCAGCCAATTTGTATACAACAAAATTCAACAATCAGTACCAAAGTAACTGATATGTTAATGCGATATGTGTGTGAAGAATAAATGCTGGTCAGTGCACTGAGAGAACTCATCTGCTCCTCTTCAAAAGTGTCACGACTATTCTAGAGTGGCAGACAAACCCTCAGTTTAATGTCTCATCCTCTGGACTGCATCTATGCAGCATTCCATTCGTACTGCACTTGTGTATCAGCATAGGTTAAGTTTTAAAATTCTGGGTAGACTGAACTAAGGGCAGCTCCTGTTCTGCCCACGCTAAAAGATTTTTTTTTAACACTTAAAACCATCATATTTTAATTTGAGACTCCATAAAAGTATTTACAACATGGAGTGTTGTGTTTTACTGTTGTATAATTCCTATTTTCCTTCTAGGCTTTGATAGTATATGAATGCCTGAGTGAATGGGGACAGATTTTATGCACAATTTGTCCCAACCCTAAGTTAGTTGTTACTGGAGGAACGAGTACTACGATCTGTGTTTGGGAGATGGGTACCTCCAAGGAAAAAGCTAAAACGCTGACCCTTAAACAGGTAATTCAGTCAATACAGTATTGTATGTTTTGGTCTTAGAAAAATTAAAGTAATTATACTCAATCCTGTGACATTTTGTTGCTATTGTCATTTGGAGGAGTTCTCTGAAATCCTGTGTCAACATATTAAAGTTATGAATTGTGTAATGAACATTCTCTTCCAGCATATTCTTCCTAAGTAAACAGGTTGTTTTGGTACTCTCTTTAGACACATCATGCGATGGTTTCTTTTAGTTAGTTTAGAATTATCTAAGCAATATTATCAACTGCTCACTGGGAACGGAAAGTCAAAGTGAGCCCTAAAAAGGTGCAGTTGACCACTGACCCCACATTTGTGCTACTGATGCAATAAGTAGAAAATCTTTGCCTTGTGTGTCTCAGATCTTCGTGCTCCATATGCAAGAAAGATGTGTGCAGACCTTACAAATCAAGATTTCGTGAATAATATTGAATAGGGTTTCCTGTTTAAATGAATAAAAAGATTGTCATCTTGGTCGTTTCTTGAAATTGTGATCGCATCAATTTTACTTCAATTCATTTGAAAATGCCCTTCAGAAATTTGATTTAAACTGGTCAGTCTCTGCTGTTGTTGTACATGGAGAGCTAAAACCATTTGGCCTTTAAAAGAAAATCTGATGAATAGTAGAGATAATTGTAACAAAGCATGCAGATGTAACTTTGTCCTTAATATGTCATTTGCGTTTAAATTATATTTGAACACTGGCCCAATTAGTTTGCAACAATTTACGTCATTTTGGAAACAAAACCATTGACTGGTTTTCAACATAGTAAATCTTTTACATCAGCCTATGCTGAAGAGTTGCAAGACTGTCATGCCACTTGTGCCTGTTGGATGTGGACAAGTATAATTACAATGTGATAATTTTGCTTGGATATTTTAAACTATAAATTTGGATGTGAAACTTTTTATTGAAAATGATGTGTGTGTAAGTAAAATTTTCATTGTATTGCTTGATAATCTCATTGTAATAGACACAAGGAGTTAAAATGGTTAGTTGAAACCAGATACAGTATTCTAGTAAAGTGGGTTAAAAAATGAGGATTAATTAAACCAAGCTACACAGATGCAAATGAGTACTTACTTTAAAGTTATGCATTCAGAAGTTAATTTTGTATTTTCATTATGTATTTCTGTTTAAATTTATTATGAAAACTACCAAAATGAATTGTAATGCAAACCTTTTGACCACTTTTGACAGTACAATTACAGTGTAACAAGTTTACACAAACTTGTTAAAAACTGGCAGTGAACACAGCAAGTTATAATGACAAAGGTTTTTGATAAGTATGTGCAAATAAGATTGTTAACATAAGTTTGCATAATAACTGTGGCCATTAAGATTTGTAACTGCAGAAGTTGGCACAAAAGTTGACAAACATGTCAGTAGAAAGTAAAGTTCTGTGCACAGTACATGTTTTATATACATATGTAATAAATAATCATTTGATAGTACGGAACTCGAATATAAGTGAGAATAGATACATTTCGTTGAAGCTTTTCATCTGCACTCGTCAGGACATTTCGCATGAATAGCAATTCAAAGAGAAAACCAGTGTATATAACTGCATGACAGGAGAGTGCTTATTGTTTGGCAAATGGACTCTGGTAGCGTTATTCCCACGGAGGACATGCCCATCAGTGCTGATTGATGTTTAAAGGCCAAATTTAAATTTTAAATCAAGCGGTTTGACTCCGGTTGGTCAGAGCATTAAACTGAGAAGTGAACGAGCAAATGGTTGTCACTGATTTTTGTTGAGCTGAAACAGGCGCAGTGAGTATACGTGTTCTTTCTGCCTTCAAAGAATGTGTGATAATAGGCGTAGATTCCAGTACACACAAGTGTGCCACACTGCAAACCCAAATGACAATCCTAAATTAGTTGTCAGCGTAATTCCTCGCATACACCAGGATTATCGAAACATCCATTCGCTTGCATGGATTATGTTGAGGTTGTCATCACCAACATCACAAGGTACCAGATTTCCTGCAATTCATGAAGGGCAGCAGCAGTCTGTGAATAATTAATTCCAGCAGTAGCAATAAAGTCACCAAAGGAGAGTTTCCTCTTTACACCCACTCACTCCTATGGATGCCATTAATGTTAGGGTTTAGCGCTTGGTTCGGGTTTTAACCTGCCCTGTCTTTAAATTAATGATGGCAGAAAAATAATATCACTTCAATTAATGGAGTTGAGTTAATATACCTAGATTTTAAATCATCTGTGTAACAAATAGATTTAGCAACTGTGTGTAGTAGAGAGAGTTTTACTCATTCAAAAATGCATCTTTAGATATCACAATCATAATGCATTCGGGAAAGAAGTTAAGTGCCCCAACAGTGATGCATCATTTTGATTATTTCCCAAACCCCTTAAGTTAATTCAGCTTTGGGCAGAAGTACATTAGAAAATCAAATCCACCAAAATGGGTATAACTAATTTCTATACAGAAATAAATACTTTTGTACAGGAGTCTGTGGGATAAGAGAGTTCAGAAGCAGATTGAAAATCTTGCTATAGAGCTATTATCCTCTGCCCTTCCATCCCAGAAATTGACTTGAGCATTTCAAAAAAAAAAATTTGCATATCTGACAGATGTCTGGTGGAATGCTAACAACCTGAAATTTTGCTGTTTCTGTCCTCAAATCTGGCCTTGCTGCTGAGTATTTCCAGCATTTTTCACCACTTTAATTTTGAATTTCTAGCATTGGTATTATTTTGTTTTTGTTATGAGTCTTTTAAAATTTAGTTGTAATAAGTTTATACTATCAATAATGTCTCATTTTGCTCTGTTTTAGGCACTCCATGGGCACACTGATGCAGTCACTTGCTTGACTACTTCATCAGCCTATCATATAATCGTCAGTGGGTCACGAGATCGAACATGTATCATTTGGGATTTGAATAAACTATCTTTTGTCACACAACTGCGAGGCCACAGGGCACCAGTGTCTGCTTTATGTATTAATGAATTAACAGTAAGTACGGGATTTCATCCCAACCAACTGCGAGTTATGGTTGATAGAAAGCAGTGACAAGATTAATGTAAATTTGCTGCCTTAGTGCAATGTTTTCTGCTCTTCAAATTATACCTGAAATATTCAAGAAAGCAACTGGGATGCTATCCGTCCGTACAAGAGGAATTGGACATAAAAGTAAGGATATTCTTCAGTTATACAAGGCATGGTGAGACCACTTCTCCAATATTGTATGTAGTTTTGGTCTCCTGACCTAAGGAAGAATGAAAATACATTGGAAGCATTTGAGATTTATAAGATTAATATTTGGAACAATTGGGTTAGCTTAAAAGGATAGGTTGGACGGTTTAAACTTGTTTCAGCTAGAGTTTAGGTGAGTGAGAGGTAACTTGATTGAAGTGTATAAAATGGCTTTGACAAGGTGGACTGGGAAAGAATGCTGCTTCTTGAGGGTCAATCCAGACCTACGGAGCATTGTTTTAACATTGACGTCGCCTTTTGAGACAGATGAGGAAGTAGTATTTTCTCTGAGAATTATGCAACTTTGGAAGCCTGCCTCTGAGGCAATGGAGCAGGCTATTGAATATTTTTATTCAGATGGGATAAGTTCTTGTTAGGCAGGGAATTGAGTGTTATCCAAGGTAGATCGGAATGTGGAATTCAGCACATAAACAGTTCAGTCATGATTTTTAAATAAAATTTATTCACTGGAGGGATGAGTGTGTTGCTGGCTGGACCAGTATTTATTGGTCACTCTTAATTGCCTAGAAGGCAGTTAACAGGCAACCACATTGCTGTTATTGAATGGTGAAGCAGGTTCAGGTGTTCAGATGGCCTGCTTCTGCTTTGATTTTGTATGTTTGTATTGGTATTGACAAAGGCAAAGATAATCAATAGCCTCTCACCTCAACAGCATGCCTGAGATTCTTTTTGTAATTCCTATTCAAAACAGCGTTACTCGTTTCAACTGAGATCCACTTATACTTCAAAATTTAGAGAGATTTCTACATGAATGAAAGTTATTCATGATCCATATCTAACAAAGCAAATCTATATGGTATTTCTTGGTATATAGCATTATTGGTATTGCCAATATTTATTGTCCATTTCTATTTGCCTTTGAAAAGTTAATGTAATAGATGTTAGTTTATGTTAGCTTCAAACATTTGACTCTCTGCCATTACAATGGTTCAGTTTTATTTTCTAGTTTAAATTAAAAGCATTATAAAATGTTTCTGCTTTTACTAAAATCTTCCTCATTTTACAAAATCTTCAATAGGGAGACATTGTCTCTTGTGCTGGAACATATATTCATGTATGGAACATCAATGGAAACCCAGTGGTGAATGTGAATACATTTACAGGACGCAGCCAGCAAATTTTTTGCTGCTGTGTATCAGAAATGAGTGAGTGGGACACACAGAATGTTATAGTCACTGGACATTCAGATGGTGTGGTCAGGGTAAGTAATGTATTCTGTTGTCCTCCAGTCAGTAATCATTCAGTGTCCCTTGCTAGAGCATCTAAGAGAGAGAGAAGGGGGGGAACATGGATTAATTATATAGCTTTAGAATCCTGTACTATGTAGAGTCATACAGCATAGAAACAGACCTTTCAGTCAACTCATCTACACCAACCAGACATCCCCAATCTGACCTAGTTCCAGCATTTGGCCCATATCCCTCTAAACCCTTCCTATTCATATACCCATCCAGATATCTTCTAAATGTTGTAATTGTAGTTTGCCTCCACCACTTCCTCTGGCAGCTCACTCCATACGTGCACCAACCTCTTCATGAAAAAGTTGCCCCTCAGATCCCTTTCAAATCTGTCCCGTCTCAACTTAAACGTATGCTGTCTAGTTTTGAACTCCACCCTAGGAAAGAGACCTTGACTATTCATGTTATCCATGCTCTTCACGATTTTATAAATCTCTATAAGACCAGCTTCAGCCTCCGACGCTCCAGGGCAAAAAAAACACCTATTTAGTCACTTCCTATAACTCAAACCTTCCAGTATTGATATTTAGATGTGTTCTATTTATCATTTTAGTGTCCATCTGATCCATAAGGTTAGTTGAATGCTACTTTTTAATGTTTGAAATATCAGAATGTACAGAGGTAGAAAACTTGCTACAACTAGCCAAAACCCTGGTTTAGACCACACCTATATTCAGTTCTGGGCATCATACCTTAGGAAGGTTATATTGGCTTTATTTTGTGGGGGCGGATGGCAGGAGGGGAGGGGGTGCGCCCTATGGTATGGGTGTAAGTGCATTAGAATTTACCTGACTATTACTCCAAAGATGAAATTATAGCAATATCTAACATACTTTTAATGTAATAAAGTTCAGAGGTGCTTCACAGGAACACTATAAATATAAAATTAGACAATGAGCAAAATTAGAAGGATAGAGCGCATAAATTGGGGTTATAGTCTGCAGTATTTTAAAGGTTAAAAGAAGATAGGATTAATTTAGTGTTAGTTTGAAATATCCTGCAAAAACTCTTCAGTGCCCTGGTCAAACTAACTGTTACTAGTGCGTTCAGTTTTTGCCACTAAATCATAAAGGAAATCAACAAATCCTGCAGTTCAAACAGAGAGGATCCACAGGACTATCTGTGGAGGGGTGAGGGATGGGTGTAAAAGGTTTGACATATGACAAAAGGCTAAATAATCTCCAGCTCTTCACAAATGCTTTATATTGTAAAGAATTCTGTGACAGCCAGAGACTGTGAGAAAAGCTATATAAATGCAAAGGTTGTTTCATGTATAAGTTGAGTGTGCTGATGGCTTTTAATGTGACAAAGCCTATAATTTTTCAAACTGCTGCTACATTCTCTTGATTATAGTGTTTGAATCTAAGAACAGTTTTTTTGACATGAAACCGCGTTTGATGACACTGATATCCTGACCAAGGTCAACTTTTGGTGTCATCCTCCATTTGGATGAGTTTGTAACAAGTCATTTGAGGTTCACTTCTGTGACCTTTCTCAAGATTTCTTTCCCTATCTTCTCAAGTATTCAGGGCTCCTTGCAGATATATTTTTAAGGGTTTTTCCTTAAACCAGTGTGCCTCCTTGCACCTCGACAACATTCAAGACTCGAGCTGTCATTTGGAATTGTCTGCCTCTCACTTTTCCCTTGGTTCAGAGTTCTACATAAGTGTTTTTCACTGCTTTCTGTGTGTTGTGCCATGCTCCATGCCTCAAACTTGATTGCATAATTTCTTTGACTCTAATGTATTGATTTTTATTTTGCTATGTTGCTCTTTTCTGTCTCTTCCCAAACACTAGGAAATCAACTCTCCCCAACCCGTTGATCTGATTCCCACTTATAGAAATACATTTCTTTTAAAATCAGCTTTTGATGATCTCAAAGCCATGTATAATTGCTACTGTGTAGAGCCCTGGTTAAAATTGAGAACCAAGGTGAAATACCGATTCTTCTCCTTTTTTGTCCTATAATCATAATTTAACTCCCAGTGTAAGTTACATAGAACTCCTAGAAGCTCAAAACAAGTAAGAGACTGGTCCAAAGTTCCTATACCAATGCCATCCTAACATCCGTAACAATTTCCTACATCTTTTGCAGTGCATACGATCTAAAAGATGTATCACAGTAGATAACTGAGATCACTATGACAAGTGTGAAAAAAACAAAGAACTGCAGATGCTGAAAAGTAAATCTGAACAAAGGTCACTGGACCCAAAACATTAACTCTGATTTCTGTCCACAGATGCTGTTATATCTGCTGAGTTTTTCCAGCAATTTCTGATTTTGTCACTGACTTTTTTTTTTCTCCTCTACAGAACTCTTCACTGAGAGTAGTCACCCTCATTGAACCTCCATTTAAGATCCTAATTCTTGCACAATAATATTAAGCTGCATTTTTGCCCTACTTCTAACTGGCATATCATTCAAAATGAGATTGTACTATGTCTGAAACAGTGCTGCAACCAGGCTGAGGTGATGTTCCCCATTTGTGGCAGTTCTAGATAGGATGTCCCAAACCATTCAAGCTCCTGGGTGAGAAGGAATGAATTGGCTCTCCTCCTTTAGTCATCAACCCCCTTGATTGGTTGCAACAAGGATAATTTGAAAAGGATCCATTACCTTCTGAATATCATTGTCCCAGAGCCAAATATGCCTAACTTTTAAAAGAAGCCAATTTAACCATGCTTGCTTGAATTAACAAAGTGAGGTTAAACATTACTACATGTGAGAAACAATACAAATGTAACACACAAACGGGCGTAAGTGGTATGTCCAAAAATATAAAAAATTTATATGGATTAGTCTCTGAATTATTCCCAAAGAGCTGATACTTTTTCATCATGGCAGTTACAATGAGGATACCACTAGCACAGATGTTGGCAGGTGAACAGTAGGCTTCACAGTCTGTAATTTTACAGATTTGTTGAGATACTTTCAGTTGTGGTTAAATACCAGCATTCAGGATGGGAGAAACTGTTCATTGTCTTGTTTCCTTTTTTTTAAACTAGTTTGTGGCACTCTTGAGTGAAAGAAGTTCTTTGTCTGCAACAAAGGGTCACTAGGTAATAGTTCTTCAACGATGACCTTCACAGCACACTCATGCTCAAATGCAAGTTGGCACCCATGAGAACATTCAGTCTCAGTAGTCCACTCCAGTAGAGTTGAAACTGATTTTTTAACCCCTGCCCTTGTGTATTCTTCAAAAAGAAAAACACAACATATGTCTACAGTTTGGGACACAATGAATTGAACAAAAAAAACAGGCAAATTGTAATCCCTGATAATGAACAATTTTAATCACTGCTGTTACAACATTGGGTTAAAGAAACCTCAAACAGACTGGACTATGATTTCTTGTAACTACAAAGCTAGTAAAGGATGGACAATCTCTGTTTAACAACAAGCCATCCGTTACAGGTTATGTTGTTAAACAGGAGTTGTCAGCTCTTCGTTATCATAATCACAAGAAATCACAGTCCAGTCTGTTTGAGGTTTCTTTAACCCAATTTCATAACAACAGTGATGAAAATTGTTAATTATTGCAGATTGCAACTTGCCTGTGTTTCTGTTCAATTCATTGAACTTTCTCAAAAACTTGAGATTTATTTTATCTTCTCCCATATTTTAGACTTTTGACTCTCGATGGGTTGAGTAAATAAAGACACATTATGGAAGGATTTTAAAGAACAATTTACTGTAGTGTTCATTTAATTTCTGTCTTAATTAATCACCATTTATTTGTTTCTTCAGTTTTGGAGAATGGAGTTTCTGCAGGTTCCAGAAACCCCAGCTCCAGAAGAGACTATCAAGCTTCCAGAAAATGATGATTCTTCTGCGGACGTACAGCTAGGTGAGAGCACGTGCTATGGAATAATTTGCTTCTTTGATATTTTACTCAATGCAGAATAGAATAAAACCAGGACATTGCCAAGAATCTGGCAGCATTTCTCATTGGTTCACATTAGACTTTTTGAACTGAGACATAGTGCTGAAGAACAGTGCATGTATTCTTCCTGATTTATTCAATAACTATGGGCCAATAGGATTTGCTACTATCCACCATTTTGCAATGGTTTTAGTCAATGCCCTCCCACAGTGTTGATTGTTGGTTCTGAAGCCTTCATAAGCCTCTCATGGACCAAGTGCACATCGTTTGAGATTTTTACCCGATCCTAAAATGTTCACTGGGTTCTGCTGTGGAGGGCCCCAGTGTGTTATCCTGTCATGTGTTCCAAGGTCTCCAGGATGTGATTTCCAGGGGCTCATTGCAATTGGTACTGAACTAATGGCAAAAAATTAGATTTCTAATGAAGTCTTAATATGGTGAGTGTATGTGTTTACATGCTTGATTATAAGAACTTGAGTGAAAAACTTGTAACATTTTGTTCATGACATAATCAATTTATTTTATGAATTGTTGGAAACATTGAACATTATATTCTGGCTGTCCACAGACTGAGTGTGTTCTTAATTTATATATCTTTATGTACAAGTAATTCTTCAGTAAAACCTTTAATTTTCCATTTGGTGACGCTGTTGTAAGCTTGGTCTGCTGTTTTTTTTTGGGCAACACATTTGGATTCTATTATGTAATGCAAAGTTGCACAGTGATATTTTATAATTGCGAAACATTGATGTTGGTAGTCAAAGTTAGCCACCTTATAAGGAAATTTCAAAACGAGTGAAAAATGTAATTATTTCACACCTTATAAGGGTAGAATGCTGAGTCAGCTGAAATAAAAACAACACTAGTTTCCCTATTTTGGCTGTTGATGAAATCAAAGCCCCATTGGTTAAAACTGTTCTATATTTTTAAAATGGACTGCTGTAATGCTAATAGCTGTAGCCATAGAAATAATATGAGAGAAATTGCAAGTTTTGACTACTTAAACATCTATTTACAAATCCTGGAGGACAATATAGAATCTGAAGTTTTTTTTTCCTGTTGTTGCAATTGTGTGGAATAAGATGTGGGATATTTATATTTGGAATTTAGATGGGGATGCCCAGGATGAGGAAAGCAGTGATTCAGACCTGGAGGATCAGTGCAGTACCCAGGACCCAAAACCCAAGCAAAGCGTATCTGGCTGTCCAGCAAATAAAGCAAAGGGCATGTCCGGGCGAGCAGCATGGTTTGTAGATGGAGATGAATCAAAGCGTTGGGCAGATCAACTCAGCCTGGATGAGAAGGATGGTTTTGTTTTTGTAAATTACTCAGAAGGCCAGCCTAAGCTGCAACCTCAAGCTCAACAGCAGCCTCAAGTTCAAAGTCAGATGCACTATCACCATCATCAACTTCAACAGCATTCGATGCAGAGTGAAATAAAACGCCATAATCAGCTAAAACAAGGTAACTGTTTTTACAAATATATTCCACTTAGTCACTTATTTCTGTAAGTTCTGCTAGCATTAAAATTCTCTTTTCATTGTATGACCTGCACTGATAACAATTTCTTGATTGGCATAGAGTCATACAGCATGGAAACAGACCCTTTGGTTCAAATCACCCATGCCGACCAAATTTCCCAAAATAAACTAGTCCCACTTGCCTGTGTTTGGCGCATATCCTTCTAAACCTTTCCTATTCATATACCTTTCCTAAATATTGTAACTGTACCTACATCTACCACTTTCTCTGGAAGTTCATTCCACATATGAACCACTCTATGTGAAAAAGATGCCCCTCAGGTCCCTTTTAAATCTTTTTCCTGTCACCTAAAAATTATGTCTCTAGTTTTGAACTCTGCACTCTATGGAAAAGACCTTTGCAATTTGCCTTATCTATGCCACTCTTCTTCAAGGAAAGCAGATCATAACTTCTCCAATTTCTTCTTGTCCTCTTCCAGAAGTGCAGTGCCTAGAACTGGATACAATATTTTTGCTGATGCTAAACTTGTGTCTTATATAAACTGAGCATAATCTTGCTCTTGTACTCTAGGCCCCTCTGGTTACTGTATGCTTTGTTAACTGATCTCTCAACCAATCCTGTAACCTTTAAAGGCTTGTACTTAAATGCACCTTTTGTCTCTCTACTTCTGCACCTCCTTTGGAATTGTATCCCTTATTTTATATTGTCTCTCCATGTTCTTTCTAGCTAACTTAACCAACACACATCTTTCTGCATTACACTTCAGTTGCCATCTGTTTGTCCATTTCACCACCTTACCTACACTCTTTTCAAGCTCTCCTGACCGCCTCATAATTTAGAATGTCTCCGAATTACATACCATTATGTATTTTGTGTACACCCTGTATATCAAGGTCGCAGTCATTTATATTAAGAAATATATCAAGAAAAGTCAGGATTTCAACGCCGAATCCTGTGAACTGCCCTACAAAGCTTGCTCCGGCCTGAAAAATGTCCATTAATTGCCACTGTTGGTTTGTGTCTTTCCTGCAATTTTTAAATCTGTCTTGCTACTGTCCCTTTACTGTGTGAGCCACAACTTTGCTAGAAGCACTGGTGTGCAGTACTGTATCAAATTTCTTACGAAAGTCCATGTACGGTCAATATGGTATCAATATTTAAAACATTAAATGAAATGAGGGATAGTTTAAGAGTAAAGTTTAATAAATGAAATAAATAAGAATTACTTCTGTAGTTTCAAATGCTTCAATTTCTACAGGTAACAATTAATGATATGCAGAATTTGCTTCTCTCAGATAATTGACGTAACTTTCTGAAACTTGAATCTTGTCGCTATTGTTACAAAATCGTCTTCTTCATTCAGTTGAATTTTGAGTATTTTCATTAGAAATTAGATTTGTTAGGATCATCAAATGAAGCTGTTGCTCATGCAGATTGCTTGGAGTTTCTAAATACATTTTCTCCGAGACACTGTAGTTCTTTAAATAAACAACATGGTGTTCATGTTCAATTTGAATAAACCAGTAGCATTGTTCTTTAAACGTTTCTTTATATTTCCATCAAATAATTATTGAATAACTAGTTACTGTACTTTCCCATAACTTTTATAGGCAAGTGCCCATCCTTGTGATTCTAAATAGGAGTTCTCATAAATATTCTAAGATTTTTTAGATTCCAGAACTTAGACTTATTTTCTTCATAGAATTGATGTTGTAAGAACACACAGCTGCAAGTAAGAAGACTCATTCAGCATGTCAAGTTAGTTTCTTCCAGTGAGAATTTTAACTATTAAATATAGTTGGGTTAGCTATTAGCCTCAGCAACTTTATTGCATCCAGCTCTGGACACTGCACTTCAGGAAGGACTAGAAGACATTGGAGAAGTTAGGATCATGTCTATTGTATCCTGGAGATTTTCCTTGCTTTACCAAATTTACCAAACCTTATAGTTAACGTTCAGTTAAAAGGAGGGATTAGAAAAGCTAGAGTTGTTCTTGTTAGAGTGGAAAAGGTTAAGGGGAGGTTTAGTAGGAGCATTCAAAATAATGAGTGTTTTGATAAGGCAACTATTCACTTTGACAGGGAGGTCCGTCACCAGAGTTTTAAAATCATTGGCAAAGACTCTAAATTCTATATATGAGAGTTTTAATACATATTGTTAAGATCCGGAGCACACTACTGAAAAGTAATCCTTAAGGACTTTCTGAAGGCAATTGGACATGTCCCTAGAGAGGATTAATGCACAAAGACGATGCCAAGTAGCCCCCTGAACTGTAAATTTGAATCATTTTAAACTTTAGATTTTCACCATAAACGGCATTATTTATTGAATTAGCTGTGAACTGAATCACTTAATTCATTGTGATTAAGACAATTTTCAATCATCATATAATTCCTGCTTATTCTCAAAGCTGCAAGCAACAGATTACATTTTCTATTGTGGGTCTCTGAATGCAAGTGATTTTCTTTGATTTCAGGATACAGATGGGAGCGACAGTTGGTATTCCGAAGCAAATTGACTATGCATACTGCGTTTGATCGAAAAGACAATTGTCACCCTGCAGAAATTACTGCATTAGGCATTTCTAAGTGAGTATTGTTAGTAAAACAAGGCAACCAAAGCCAAAGTAGATTACGCCTTTAGCCTAGCGCTCTCCCCAACTTCTACCAATAGTTTTGACAAAGTGAACTTTAAATGTGGCAGGATATGTGTCATATGTGGCAATTATCAGTGATCCTGACAGATCAGTCAGTTTCTCTAACAGAAAGATAGCTAATATTTCAGGGTTCATAATCAAAGCTGATACCTCTAATTCCTCATGTCGCTATCTGTTCTTTTGTCATGTAACTTAAATTGGTGTCTTCCAGATCTTTTGGCAAATCGGAACTGTTTTTCTCTACATACTGTCTAGACTCCTCATGATTTTAAACACCTCTGTCAAAATCTTTTGTCAACCTTCTCTTCTATAACGCCAGCCTCTCTCAATATATCCACATAACTGAAATCACTCATCCTGGAGCTATTCTCAAAGCATTTTGGTACCCTATATAATATCCTTCCCAAATGTGGTGCCCAGATTTGGATGCACTACTCCTATTGAGGTCTGATGAGGCTTTTATAAAGATTTATCATAACTTGCATGCTTTTGTACTTTGTGCTTCTGTTTATAAAACCCATGATCCCATAAGCTTCCTTCATTGCTTTTTCAAAATGCCTTGATATTTCCAACAATTTGTGCAGATATTGCCCTTTTGTCTCTGTACTTGTACCAGCTTCGGAATTGCAGCTTTATTTGCTGCCTCTTCTATCTACCAACATGTATCACTTTGTCCTTCTTTGAGTTAGTTTAAGTTGCCAAATGTCCACCCATTAAAGCAGACTGTCTGTCCTCATGAAGCTTATCATGACCTCATAGTTGACTTTACTTCTGGGTTTTATGTCATCTGCACATTTTGAAACTGTTCCCTGTATACCCACATCCACATAATATATATCAAGGATTGCAGTGATCCCTTTGGAACTCCAGAGCAAAATTATTGACTATTCACAGTTACTTTGTTTCTTATCATTCAATCAGCCTGGTATCCATGCTGTTCTTCTATTCCATGAATTTCAACTTTTCTGGGAAGTCTAGAATGTGGCGCTATATCAGAAGTGTTTTGGAAGTCCATGCAGGCTACTTCAACTATGTTGTCCTCATTTACCCTGTCCATTATCTCATTAAAACTACAACCAAGTTATGAAGGCACAGTTTAGCTTTATCAAATCTGTTCTATCTTTCTTTATTTGATCACACTTGTCCAGGTGACTGTTAATTTTATTCTAGATGATCATTCCTGAACGATCTCCCACCTTTAAGGTTAAGCTGACCTGCCTGTAGATGCAGAATTTATTCTTACATCCTGTTCCATTTAAGAGACTATTTGTAAGTCTTGTTTCCATTGTGGAAGCTGTACAGAAAGAATACACAGATTGGAGATACAACATTGTGGTCCCATTCCTCCAGTCAGAGCACTGAAAGATCAAGTCGACAGAAGTTGTTGTGTAATATATTTGCTGCCCATGAGTAGATAAGGAATTTGATGAGCCTGAATTTAAGACGTCATGCTAATAACGTGCTACAGATAAAAGTGGATTCCCTTAGCAGTACCACTAGCTGAAGCTAATTTTTAAAACACATTTTTACATCTGCTTAGATAGTACAAATAAAATACAGAAATCATCTAACTTGTCACTGTGAGCACACAAGTATTGATATTTATTTGCTATCATGTTCATAGGAGTCCCAAAAACTGCAGTTTGTATATTCAAGATTTCTTTTTTTCCATCCCCTGAAAGCACTTTAGGTGGAGATTGTTCAGTAACTTTGTCAAATGATCATTCATTTTAGCCGAATCTAAGGAATCGGGAAAGAAAGTTGTCAGATTACAAACCTAATTATGGCCAACAATATGATCCATGCTTCTTTCTATCGGATTGCTGGGCATGATGAAGCCCGGGAAACCTAAATACTAGGTTTTTCTTTCTGAGGCCACTAACAGCAATTTTTTTTATTTTAAACACTCGAGATATGATCAGTGTGCCACGTACCATACATCTCTCGCCTTCAGAGGATGATGGCAAGCAATCTTCTTTCTAACTGGCCACTTCAGTGACAGCCACAGATTATGGGAGTGGAGTTATTTATAAATCAGACCAGAAACAGGTGTTGCATATGCTATGCCCAATTAGATTTTTACAATAATCCAACCGACTTCCATCATGTTTCTCCTGGACCAGCCTATACAGGACCAGACTTATGAAGGTTAACTTCACAATTCAGTTTTGAATTAATAATCTCAGTACTGTCATGCTCCTGAAAAGGTGAAGTCCCCGTAGTCCCAGAGGATCAAAGGGCTGCTATCTCATCAGAGAGACAGAGAGAACTGGCAGTGAATTTAACCTGCAGATCGCCATGCCTCAGGCAAGGTATGATGTTAAGAAGGCAGGACCATCATGGTAACCTCAATGGGAATTGAACCTCTGCTTTGGGCATCACAAACCAGTTGTCCAGTTAACTGAGCTACACAACCCCCAAAATTCCTCTGCAGTCAATCTATTATTATCAAGGCTGAGATTAGCTAAATAACAAACATTTAAAAGTTTTATCCCCATTAGATATTAGATTCCTTTTTTCAAAAATTTAAAAAATAATTTTACATGGGCAGTGAATTCCACTCTCTGCTCAAAGTTCCATAAGGTGTCTCCTGTCACTCTAATGATGTGATCAAGTTAAATGTTCCTGATCAATCTGTTGGACAAAAAAAGACAGCTTTATTATCAACTAGAGACATAATTTAAGCCACACGGTTTATCTCTCATAATTGGTTACATTACAGTGGAGGCAGCGAGCCAAAATCAAGTGGGAGAAATCTTTAAAAAGGATAAATACACATATGAAAGAAATATTCAGGAAAAGATTTTAAGGCAGTTTATGTTTATTGAATATAAATGTTTTTCTGTAGTAGTTGTGCTCAATAGCCTCATTCTAAATGGCCTTTTGAGTTGGGACAAATAAAGGTGGGTAGAGTGACCGAGATAAAGAACTCCTTCTGGATCTCACTTATGCATGCAGTTTCAGTTGAACAATTACAATGTAGTGTTGAATGAAAGTTTTATTGAATGAGTTGAAATACCAATTAGTTTAAAACATTTATAGGTTTTCAAAAGAAAATGCATTAAAATGAATAATAACTCTGAATGTAGTTGTTTTGTTTCCTTTCCTGCAGGGATCACAGTAAAATTCTGGTAGGTGATGCACGAGGTCGGGTATTTAGCTGGTCAGTGAGTGATCAGCCAGGGAGGACAGCTGCTGACCACTGGATTAAAGACGATGGAGGTGACTGCTGTTCAGGATGTTCAGTGCGCTTCTCTCTAACCGAGAGACGGCATCACTGCAGAAACTGTGGGCAACTCTTCTGTCAAAAGTAAGAGAACATACTATTTTTGCATAAATTTGGGATGTGTATTCCATAATTATTGGTTTATTCCTATGGTGAAGTAAAGCTGCAGTGAGCTTTTAATGTATGTTACTTTTTCAGAACTAACACCTCAATATTAGGCCTTGATTTCAATGGCCGAGTGACAATTCAGTAACACTATATTGAAGGCTTCTAATGATGCTAGTGAACAGCAAAATAAAAGCATTTTTGAGCTAAATTCACTTCCAGGGATGAAATAACAAAGTCATATAAAACACCTGGGATTATTAAACATATTCTTCGATGTTCAGTTATTTTCCTGCTACAGGTAGTGTTGTTCTCTGCACTGCACCTAGGAGAAATGCTCCATTAAAGGGGGGAAGCTCAATAGAACACTGTCCCTGATTGTGTCAGTCCCACACTTCCTTGTGTCTACCTGATGGACAGTATTCAGTGTGTTAATGAGGTGGGAAGAACTGTTTCCTTTTCCACCTTATCTTTCCATCACTAGACATTCTAGTGAAGGAATATCTGTAGAAATGTATTACAAAGTGTTTTGAAGGTCAGAGGGCCTTCTGATATTCTGGTCAGCCCAGTGACTAAAGAACACTGTCAGGAGGCATCTTAAAAAAAAATTGCCCCTTTCCCAATTTCCCAAAACATTTTTTGAACTTACTACATAACTAGACGAGTAGATTTGTATTGTCATTTAATTTTTTTAGTTGTGGTCACTTCAATGATTGGTCATGCGTAATGGCTGATCTGATTTTCATTTAAATGTTTTTACCTTACTGCTCAAATATAAATCCATAGTGTCATATGCAAGATGGGTTTTTAGATGGCTGTGCCAATAAAAATGCTCTAGATGGATTCGTTCCCAACTACCAGTTGCATCCCCTGCATCCCCACCACCTCCCCCAAAAAAATCTATCTGCAATTTACCAAACAGTAGGTGGGGCATCATTTTGACTGTTTGCCCTTACGCCAATTGAGGAATGGCCACTTGAGGATTATTTCATGCTTGGCATAACGTTCCTTCTGTTGGAAGGAGGCTGCGTGAACCTCTGACAGAAAAGGAGGGGTGTGTGCCATCTTCACAGGCCTCTCCTTAGGGCCTCGTATGCTGAGAGTCTCCCACTCCCCCACAAAAAATCCTGTCTTTCAGCTCTGGGCGACTTCTTTGGGACTAGATGCTGTTATAACACAGTGATCACAACTTGTGGGGATGTTGCTGGAACCAAACAGCTACCAACCAACGAGATCTCAGACTGGGAGCTGCTGCTCCCCAGATGTGAATAGGAGTCTTATCTCAAGCAATTTAACACTGTTTAGAGAAACTGGATGATCCTGTCCGTTGCATGTGTAGATTGCAATTCCAAGTTTAAGAAAGCCGTTCTGACCTATGTCATGTTATTTGGCATGTAACCTGTAAAAGCGCCAGTATTACAGTAAGATTAGAGGTGACTCAGACTACTTTGCAGTTGCCTTATGAGACAGCATGCACAATTAGAAGGCAGTTGTATGGAATATTTTACCAGTTGAGCAATGTTCTCTTGATTAATTTGTTCTGAACTTCTAAATTGCTTTTAACATTTCTGTTCAGAAAATGCTGCTTCAGACTTTGAAATGTTTTGTAACCTTTCAGGGGGTAAAATAAAACATAAAAAGGAATGATTTTCTAGCACTAGCATAATTATGAGTTGCTTCCTTCTGTATCAATCTTTATATGGTTCTTTTTTCAACTGTCATGTGTGACGATATCTCCTTCTTGCTTTTATGTTCTCTTCTAACTAAGTATAATTTGATGTTTTACTGATAAACTTCCTGGCATATTCTCTTACTATTTGATCCTGCTTTAGCTTCTAAGGTCATGATTTAATTTGTAAATCAAGCCAAGGCCTTTTTGAAAAAAGGAGATTGGAAAGACATCCTGAGATGGTTGCATATGGAGCAAAACTGTTAAAGACATTTAATTGTTCTGCTGTATGAAGATGTATTCATTTTATGTATGAGAATTGAATAATGTCCAAAATGTACAAAAAGCTGCCTTTCATTGTTATCTTAATACTGCAGGTAGGAAAAGAGAGCTTTGGCAAGCAACTGTCATGAAAGCAATGTTGAATATTCTGGTCTTCCATTTTGCTAATGTGTTTTAGGGAAGGAAACTGCCTTCCTTACCTGGTCTGGTCTACATGTGACTCCAGACCCACAGCAATATGCTTGCCTCTCAACTGCCCTCTAGTCAATTAGGGATTGGCAATAAATGCTGCCTAGTCAGCAACGCCCTTATCCCATTAATAAAGAAAAAAGGATATCTGATTTTTTTAATATCTTTAATTACTGCATCATTTTACAAAAAAGACACTGGTTACAACAGTTACAGATTCTATTTTTATTTTAATGCAGGTGCAGTCGATTTCAGTCTGAGATCAGGCGCTTGAAAATCTCCTCACCAGTCCGTGTCTGTCAGAATTGTTACTACAACCTGCAGCAAGAGAGGGGAGCTGAAGAGAGCTCCAGGAACTAATAAGTCATTGATTTATCGGTGACCAAACAAGCAGAATCCTTGTCACTCCCAGCTATTTCAAATGATTTTATGCAAAAGGAAAGAATGTGGGGAGTTTAAAAAAGAGTTTACATAAATTTCTTTGTACTGTGTTGAAGCACTGTAATATACTGACTAGAAAGGGATCATTGCCTTGCAGTTAATGTGCCCATCTCTCTACCTAATTCATGGATGGTTTGAATGTTCTGGACTGTGCTGAAAGTATGGTTTTAGAAGTTCTGGACTTGAACTATCCTTCAAACATCTTGATGATGTCACCCATATTCATGAAACCAGTGGCTTGTAAGATTTTTAAATGTAAATCTGCCACTTTCACAAGAACCCAATTGTTTATAGTGTAAATAGTTGTAATGGCCTTTTTAACAAGAGGAACTTCCGAATTGCCTGTTAAAAGATGTCCTATTATAACCACTAATTGTGTGATTTGAGAAATCAATAGTTGTGTCCAGCATCATTCAGTAACTATTTTAGGAGTCAATGAAAATGTGCAAATGCTAATTATTATCAATTGCATTAATACCTTGCATTGTTTTTTTTTTCTATTTTAATTATTGTTTGATGCAAACAATAATGACTGTGAGTTTGTTTACTCCATTACAGAAGCTTATGATATTGAAGAAAAAGGGGCATGCAGCAGTTTCAAACCAGCCATGTCATCATTATACTGATCTATTTTCAGAGTAACAGCTTCCTTAGTGTTCATACTTTCTTGAAAATATTAAAGTGTGTCTGGGGATATTCATGTGCTACAACATCAGCATCTGTGTTCTAACAAACTATTATTTAACCCTATCCTTTTTATGAGCAATAGGAGACTTGCAATGCTTGAAATGCTGTCAGCATTGCACTGCCACAATGCAAGACTTTGATTTTGCCTGTGTGCTTTGAAGTGGGGTGAGGGGAAAAGAGGGGTGGGCGGGGAGGCAAATAAAATAAATCTGGTGACTTCCTTGCCGTAACATTCTGTTCCAGCACTCTCAGTATGCTGCAGTTAGGGTCACAATAAAACTGAAATACATCTAAAGTCCGACTCTTGTCATTTGAGTAAATGCATTTTCTACCTTATCCAAGCTGTTTACGAAATGTTGATGTATTCTAGACCAGCAAATATAAAAGCAGTATTTTCTCTGTGCATCTATATACATGGCATATTAAGTCACAATGCAGTCGTGCAGCATCGTTTAAAACAGTAAATTATGTCTTGTGTCATATAATGGTAAAGCAAGCATCATCACTGCAGCATGTAAAAACACACTTTTACTTCCAAAATATTTCTCAATTTATTAAAATCACAGCATAATGTGTCAGCAACAATTTCATGAACTTACTTACCTAGCTGCCCTTTAATAGCCATGCAGTGAATTTATTTCACAAAATGGTTTCCACATGTTTCATTGGTTGAATTACTGTAAATGTTGTACCAGTCAGTTCAGTGTTTATGGACTTTGGACAGCTGGCGTGATGCTCCTGGTAATTTCTTATATTTAAAAAAAAATTTTAAAGTCATATGAAAAGGAAAATACTAGTCAGTTCCATTTACAGAACTCATTTATAATAGACCTCAGTATTTTATATTAGCTTTCAAAAAATATTGCTGTTAAATAACAGCTGATGTCTGTAAGCACATTGACTGGGACAATGAAGCAACTACTGGTAGTTGTTAATGTGTAGCGTATAGTGAGGGTCTCTGGGAATCAGACTAGATTATAGATTCATTGGCTGTTAAAGGCCACTTGCCCTATCGCAGTGGTACTGTGGGCAGGAAGCGTTTCTTTACACGTTAAATGCTGCTACCAATGCAAGGATCACCTCTTAGGAGGGTAACTGATCTTCATGTTTATTTAAAATGATTTTTTTGTGTTTAAATTTGTGATGGGCATGTCAACATGTACTATATCATAATTTGTAGAAAGCACTTAGAGCAATCCATGTTGTCGCAACAATACTCTTTGTGCATAACAAACATATTCATCTTCCCACTCCCTTTGTGTATAACGCATTATTCATGTATACTTATCTGTATAATGTATTGTGCAATTTGTACCGTCATGCTTACAACTGTAGAATCTGCTGCTAAAAGGTAACACTTGTCTCCGTTGATACTAAAATTACAAATTATTTTGCACCTTCCTATTGTGTATAAAACTGGTAGGAATCATTTTATCATATACATTTTCTCAATCATTTTAAAGACAACATTTCTTTACAGTAAATGAACTGTATAATATTTATGCAATTATACTGGTTTTGAAGTATTTTTAATTTCAGCAAGTTTTGTTACTTGTTGCATGATTAACACAGCTGACTTTTTGTGTCAGTAAAATGTATATTGTTTTCCACCTCTTTGTTTAATATATTAATCAATTACTTGTACCCCTCCCTCCCCAGATGACCATTATCTGTACAGTAATGAATCTGAAATGAAGAAAACTGGCTGAACTGGAGTGGGATTTTTGTACTATATATGAGAACTGAAATCCTTGTTTTGGTGGTTCCTGTGCTAGACTGATGCATTATATTAGTGTGTAAAACTGTGGTATCTGAATGTTCATTGTATATTTGTCTTTAATGCAAAAGAGCTACAGTCACACAAATACATATGTAACTAATGCAATAGAGACAAGTCCTGATACTAAACTTTTTCATTTAAATAAATACCTGCTATTTACCACCAAATATTGTTTACTACTTAGTAAAAGTCAGTAGTTTGTAAATTGATCAGTTATTTTTGCATTCATGAATGTGAGATCAATTCTGGTAACATTTTTGTCTGTGGTACAAATGCTGTCTCATTGTCCTTCTTAAGGTACAACGGCTGAGTACAATGCTGTAGCTCTAAGGATGTCAGTAGAAGTTTATGTTGGAACATGTTCAAATCATATTTTCTTTTAATTTTGTGTTGAGAAAAAATATCCACGAGTTCAGCATAGCATTGGCCCAGATATTCCAATATGGATCATGATAGAATTCCAAATCTCACATTTATCTTTACAAAACTTTACTGAGGCTTTCTGCAATGAGGAAGATCTTCTTGGAAATCATTTCTTCTGTTGCAGCAGTCAGTTGCCGTGTTCTATCACTTAAATGTCCAGCAGCACAGCCACTGTGTTAGAGTAGGGTGCCAGGTAAGTTAATGAATGTCTAAGTGGGGTTGAGTCAAGGAGTGTGTTTTGTAGAGTCTAATGGGGGATGTGGGTGGATGTGGCAATTGTTTGGTTTTGTGAAGGTTTGGGGATCAAGGTGAATGTTGGGTTTTGCAGGACCGGCCTTAGTCCACATCTTGCCTCTTTATACCATCAGTTTAGGGAGAGTTCAGACATGAATCAAGAGTTCCATTTAATAGTTAACCAGCATTTTTACTGAGTTGGAACCCTCAAAAGTTTCCAATTTTTAGGAGATTGTAGGAACTGCAGATGCTGGAGAATCTGAGATAACAAGGTGTAGAGCTGGATGAAAAATTTTTCTGAAGGGTCTAGGCCCGAAACATCAGTTTTCCTGCTGCTCTGATGCTGCTGTGTTCATCCAGCTCTGCACCTTGTTATCTCCAATTTTTAAGAGACTTTTTTGGAGGGTCTTGGAGGAATTGCCGATTTGAAGGGTCAGTTTCGTTTGACTTCTTCTGCCTTGGAGATTCCACTTTGTCCACTCCAGATATTCCATTAGTCCAACTTGAGGAATTTCAGTTTCTAGACATTTATCAATAGGCGATTCAGACATGAAACTGCAAGAATGACCTAAAAGCCTATCGGGTGTATTAAGTAGTGTTTATATAATGCATAAGAGCTGCAGTCACACAGATACAAATGGACCTAATGTGATACAACAGGTCCTGAATTATTGGTTTGTTTAACCAGATTTTTTTTTTGTTAGTTGAGTGTGGTATTATTTATACCTTCGTTCGCTTATGGTTGTTAATTTCCTGTAATACTTATTACCTTTAATCCATTATAAACTGAATTAGTACTTGTGCAATTTTCATTTTGGCGCATCTGCCATTACATTGTTACAGAAAGTCAATGGAGCTGAATTAGTTGGCAGGATGTCTACTGCCATCATTTTTCCTCTACAGACCCACTCTGCCCAACCATGAGCTCAGCTCAACACTCCACTTGGCTCTGTAAGAACTACGGAAACATCTGAAACTAGACAAATCTTTTACATAATGAAAGCAAAACATTGTGGCTGCTAAAAATCTTAAAAATATGATGCTGGAGAGTATCAGCAGGAGTGACAACATCTGCACAGAGAGAGAGAAAAACAGTCACCAAAGGATGAAGGTAACATGTTTATTCTATCTTTAGTAGAAATGAAACTGAAAGATACTGAGTTGAGACAGCAGTATTGAATAGCCTACTCTAACTGAAACAGATACAGGGCATTTTCAGGATATCTGGTTTCTGAATAAGCAGGCCAAGCAACAGTCTTCTCAACCAAAACAAAAACAGAAATTATTTGTGAAACTCAGGTGGTCTGGCAGCATCTGTGAGAAAAAAGCAAAGTTAATGTTTTGAGTTCAGAACTGAAGACTCACTAGACACGAAACATTAACTCTGCTTTCTCGCCACAGATGCTGCCAGACCTGCTCAGTTTCTCCAGCAATTTGTTTTTGTTTCAGAGCAGCAGCATCCAGGTGTTTTATTTTAGTCTTCTCAGTCGATCAGATTAAAGCATCTTGATTTGAACTCTTCACATTCTGAAAGCTTGTTTTCAGAAAAAGTGATCATTAGTTTTAGTACAGAATGAGAGACTGGACCAAGAAAAAGAACTTTTTTAAAAATCTCCAACAATAATTGTGACCTGAAAGAATGAGGCTACACATTTTCAGTGACAATGAAATTTTATTTGGCAGTAATAAACATTTATCTTGCTATTAAATGGGTATTTAGACTAAAATAAATACGCTGACTTTTTTATGACATTTCAGCTGAGCAAGTAAACTCAAGGTACAGAAACTCCATGCCACTCAATTCACTTAAATAAGAAGCTAGATGATGAGGTGCTATTTTCACAAAGCTATTGGTCGAGTGGCACATATGCA